TTCTATATATCTATATATAGTATTGAAAAGACTTTATTTGACCATTAAATTTCTTTTAATTGGTTCTTTATCCAATTATTGATCTCTAGTAAAACTTCTTTTTTATTTTTTACTTTTTATCGATATAAAAGTTTTCAAATAATAAAAGACTTTACTAAAATAAGCTATAGTTTTTTAGTTTAAGATCTAATTTGATAAAATTAAAATATTATTGATACTATTATTCCAGTTAGATTGTAAGTTCAAATTTCTCAGTAAAAAAAATAAGATAAAATTTTCTATTCTAAGAATCCAATATAATAGTTTCTTAGACAATATGTGATCTCAATAATTAATGAATAAGTTTTTTAGATGGTTTAAAGGAAGAAAAATATTTTAATTGGATTGATTTTTTTTAAAAGAAAACTGTTTACTTGAATAAGAATTCTTTAAAAGAATACCTAGTTAAGACTTTTGGTTCTTTAACATAATACGCAATAACGATCTAACTGTCATGTAAATAGTATATATAGCATAGCATTGTAGATGTTTATTTAATATTTCAATGAAGACATGTCACGATGGCATAATTTTAAAGGTGATGTCACCATAATGATCGCACTATAAATCAAAATTGAATAATTTAAATATACTGTATTTAAAAATGCACATTATGAAAATTTGATAGCGGTTAAAGTAATCTTATGATTGCAAAATTTATTTAGAATGAAACAAAAAGCCTATTCTTAATGTTCAAAAGCTACCGCAATTTGATTCTTTTAAACATGGCGTTAATTAAGCTTAAAAAGGTAAAGTATGTTTCAAAACATTTAGACTCGCGATTATATAGCACCGATTACGTATAATAGCTAATTATGGTGCATATCTACTATGTACCCCCTTGTACGAAACGAACCACCGTACTATTTATAGCCATAGTACAAATATTCATGGTTCAGTCTCATGGTAAAATATTTTTTTTTTGCTCGGCTCGGACGTCCTAAAAACAATTACGCCATTTAAACACGTTCCCAATTCGAAAGGAATAGGAATTTTAGGACGCCAAGACCGGACAGCTTGGGTCAAATCATTGAATGCCAAGATACTGTACTTTTTATTTTAAATACACTTTGCCACTCGCATCCAAGTCAATATCATTGAAAGCAAAAATGACAAAATTTATCTCAATGTTTTTAATATTCCTTGTGTGCGTTAGTTGTTCTTCTGCTGGTATATACGTATAAGATTATGTGATTAACTGGTGTATTGATTTATCAAAAACAAGTATTAATCCGGCCTCACCATATTACTAGACATAACAAAAGTAGCTACTCCTCATGGCCATGTTTTTGTCCACGAAAATATCACCATATGTTGGTCATTGTCGGATCCGTCAACCGCTCAAGCTGCCGTTCTTAAAATAACACACGTGCCTGACGGTGAATTCACTATAATCGACAAAGAGTTGGCACTTAACACATTACAGAAAAATTGGGTGGTTTCAGTGTGCAGCGGAACTTATTATTTTTCAATAATTGATAATGATGGTGAGGTGCGCTCGGATAATTTTAACATTCTGGAAAGTATTCTGACTGCTAGCTTTTTGGATGGTACGTATTTGTAAATGAGAGTTAAGAGGCGAGTTTTAATTCGATTTATTAATTAAAAATCTTTTAAACAGTTTCGGCACCTACACCTACCCCTACAAATTCTTCGGATGGTAAACTTTCCACGACCATAATAATAATAATAGCAATTTGTGCGGCGTTGGCGGTAATACTCATTGTTACTTGCATAATTTACATATTTTTTTCGGCCCTTTGTTGCTTTTGCTGTTGTTGAGGTGGAAGTTAGTAATTTACGTTTTTTTGTAATAAATAACTGTTTTTCAAGAAAGCTGCATATATGCAATACGTCATTACATTCTATGGAAGCGATCGAATTAAGTTGTTATTGTCGCTTGTTTTAACATAAAAAGTAATTGACGGGTTTTCTAAAAAATATTTCGGTTTTTGAATTTCAAAACCAGCTGAAAATGGAACTAGTTTTGATTCGTGACTGAGCGTCTTACAGTAGAATGTGATCATTGAAGCAGGAATTATCCAAATACAGACGCGACGCATTAGATAATATTAACGCATGTACAGTAATTATTAACAACTTGAAAAAAAAAATAGTAATGGATTTTTTTTTAACATGACTTATATAAATCTATATAATATTTGTATATTTCAATGACTTTCTCATGCTAACTCGCCCATTGTTAAAGTTAACTCTTCTCTAGATGATTTTTTTTTTTTGACTAGGATTATCTTTAAGTCAAAGATTATTGTCTATAACTTATTATTATAGAACTTTTGAAATTATAAGATAAGTTAGTTCCTAATCCATTCTTTAATAATATTGGAATTACTTTTATTAATGTTGTATTAAAAGTTTCTTCTAAATCTTAATTATATTGATTTTTTTTCTTTATTTGAGATCTTGATTTTTTTTTTTTGTATTTTGTAAATTAAAAATCTTGTTTTCTTCTTTTCATTCTATTTTATTCCTTAAGATTTATTTCGGATTTTCTTTTTATATAACTTCTTATATAATTAATTGTGAAATTTGTGATAATCTTAAAAATACTTTTTTAAGATTTTGATCTTGTTTTAATATATATATAAATTTATATATTGGTTTATATTCTATAATTATATTTTTTTTGATTTAATTAATTAATATTTTTTAAATATTTATTTGATTTTTTATAACTATATTTTATACTTTTTTTTATATTTTAAACCTTTTTATAATTATAGTAAAATTTTATTTATTGTAAAAATCTCTTTCTATCAATTTTCTTTTTTGATAATTTCATTAAATAGAAAACTTAGT